ATTGCAGACCAGTGTAATCTAACACATTCCAAGTCGCGTTCGTATTTTTCTTGCAAGGTATATTCAGTGGAAGTATAAAATGGTGCAATAATATAAGTAAGGTGTTATTCCACCCACAGATCAATAATCAGCGCGTGGAGGCGACTACTGAGGAATCGAACATTTAAGCTGTTCGTAGAATTTCTAGCGAATTTCATGCAAATTCAAATTCGAGAAAAGAAAATTTGCAAATATTTACAAATAACCGTAATTTATGGTGATGTTTGTCCAACTCTAGTTCTAGCTATCCGAGCAGTTGAATTTACTCGGACTCTATTGTCGATAACATTGTTTCGATATGCGGATATTCGCTCTTGTTGCTCTTTTTTTAGTTGTTGTTGATTTTGCGTAAATTCTTGTCGCAAGATTTCTCTGGTTGGATGCTGCCTTACAGCGAATATTTCGAATTTTGATTTTTTGTTTTGAGTTTGGGGTTCACTTTGGCTTTGAAAAACAAATTTGTTTTGCCCAAAATGGAATTACGCGAGTTTGCCCAAACAAAGAACTAATGTTTTGCTAAAAGAAATGCCTTCCGATTTCCTAAGAAGACTCGCCCGAATCATTTAAATTGTGTGGCGTTGAATAAAACGTGCACAGTTTGAAAATTTGCATTGGCGCGTACAGAATAAGTTTTGCCAGAGTTGAAAGCAAGAGACGCAGCGGCTTCGTAAATATTTGGTAAACTGACTAGTAATCGGTACTTTGAAGAAATTATAAATTTTGTAAGAAGTTTTAAGTGAGTTAGTGCAGTTTGGTAATTCGTTGGTATCAGTTGCAATGCGGCTGTAACTAGAATGATCCTAATACAAATTTTGGCAGTTTTACATTAATTTTGAATAATTTAAAAAAAAATTTTAAATGGTATTTAAAGTAAAAGTGACACATCAAAAATCGGTCGCTAGGTTAACGGCATTAAATAAGAGACCGCGCGGGCGTATGAGTGACATTAGTGACGGAACAACAAAAGAACGCACCAAACACATGCGGCAAATCTAGTTTTCCTGAGTGTGTGAATAAGCTATAGCGTGAATGAGATTGTCACTATTTACGGCAAGACGTGGGTGTAAAAGCAGTTTTGCAACACACACTTGACCAGCGCGGGCAGCTCATCCAACTTCGAGCCGGAGCATTTTATGCATTCTGTGGAAGTTTTCGCTACTTTGGTTGTTTACAATCTTTTCCAATTTTTTATGGAGCCAATAAAAGCTGGAAATGCAGTAAATTCTCTTCATGCTGCACACACGCTCATACATTCTCCCGCGAAATCAATGCAGCACTGGATGCTTGCTTATGCCTTTCGAAAGTTTCTTCAAGAAAGTTAGTTGTGCGCCTGCAAATCTCTCTGTCTTCGATAAACAAACCCGCACTTACGTACGTAAATAAACCGTTGTGGCCAGACATACAGACACATGCACTTGTACGCCTACACCTGTATTCAAATCTCACTGCAAGCATTCATTTTTGCGGATAAGCACATAAAATCGATTTTATGCACTTTAAACCGTTACGTTTCGCTGGATCTATTTTCATGCTTTGCATTCGCCGCATTTCAGTTTTTATGATTTTAACGCAAATTTCAGTTTGGGCGCATTGGCGTATGAGTGACACGGTTTCTCCTTTACAAGTGTTCGTTCAAGTCACACACATCTCTACGTGTATTAGTGCCTATTCAGTTATATTCAATAGAGAATATTTAATTGAAAAATCGTGAGTAGTGTGTGTTGAGGGCGACGTCCTGCTATATTTTTTTTATTCTTCTAAAAAGTAATTGCACAAGGGAATAAAATATTTGGATTGGAAAAACGCTAAAATAAAGACGGAAATATTAGATCTTGCAGCTTAGACTCCTTGGTAAGCGCGTTGTATCAAGGGAATATTTAATGATAGATATGGGAGTGATATTGATTTAATATTGCCAATTGGTTTTCTAGTTATGATATTGGCTCCTCAGAACATATTTTTAGCCATCAGAAGGAAATTCGAATGACCATCCAATAATTAGTTCTTTAATTTACAGACAGTAAGATAAAGAATGTAGATATGGATAAAAAAGTTCAGTATTTAACATTCAAAATGATAAACTTAATATTAAGTTCTATTAATAGTTAATTTAGAAAAAATTATAAGAATGCTTTAATTAATGAGTTAAAGCATGCTTTTTTAAAAAATTCAATATTAAAATTCATTTTATTTCAGATTCCTTCAAATAGCTATGTATGTACATAACATTTAGTAATGAACGTTAGAGTTTCTTGCTGGTATTTTAAGCACTTACAATTTTTCCCAGAACTCGTGCTCGACTCACAGACTGTATGTCGTCGCTTTGCTCACCGTTAAATTTTTTCAAGTTATTTTTCTCTATTTTCTGTGTGCAAGGAATATGTATGTGTAATATATATAAATGTTTAAAAATAAATAAACAAATTCGCCCCAAAAGCCAGCGGTCGTATGTTAAAAAAATACATAAATAAATAAATAAACTCATAAATAAAATACATGAGATTACTATGTATGCGCGAACATGTGCCCAACAAACAGGTTTCCAGTCATTTGAAATTGGACTTTTTGAAAATTTTGTATCCAAGCACAAAAACAAATTGAATTTATAAAATTTGCAGCTCAATAAAAAGGCAAAAATCGCTACAGTAATACTCTCATTAATGCAGGCCCACACAAACAAAATATTTACAAAGAATTGCTTCATCTAATCAAATTGAAATTTATTAACTAAAAGCAACAACAATAAGTAGTTAACCAAACACTACCAACCGTTAGTAAAGAAGCATTAAGGTCGCTCAAGGCAGTTTAGTACAACTCGATACTTAAATACTAACATACATATCTACCAACATACATATATGTCTCGACTGGGTTAAGAAATTAAAATGATTCTATCGCATTCGACGCTTGACTGCCTATTCGCAGTTCACACACGGACTCTTTTGTCGCCCAAACCTGTTTTTTGTGGGCGAGGGACGACGAGGAAAGACGAACGGATCGTGCTGCTCGTGCTCGGGTAGCACGCTTTGTGTTGTTGTTCGTAACAGTTCGCTGTTACGCAATTCAGCATTCCTTTTCATTTTGAAATTCTTTTCATGGTTGCAATAGCGCTCAAATATGTATGCATAGAATAATATAAATATTATATAATATTTTGAAAAATTGTGAATAAGGAGAAACTTAAGATATTCAAAAATATTTAATTTTAACTTTTAACAACATTTAGCGGTACATAACGGAATTCTTATAAAAATGGAGTTACTTTTACTTTTTTTATATATACATAAAATATTAAGATGCTTTCATATTTATTTTTTTTTAACCTCAAAGAATTTAGTTCGAATATCCTTTTACTTAAAACAATAATTGTAATTAATTCTAGAATATTTTATTATAAATAGAAAAAAATGTGGAGTGAAAAAAGTATGAAAATATCAGTAGCATGTATTCAATACATTCTGGTTGATTAGGAAATTTCCGACTTAGGTATTTTTTTGAAACTATTAAGCGGGTATTATGCATATTGTTCTACCACATTTATGGCAATTCTCTGTTGCGCCTGTAGAATGTTCCATAAATTTCAATCAAAAATTCAAATTTAGTCCGATTTTTGTTAACATCTCATCTGCATTATCTAGTTAAGTAGTCGATAAGCAGCCGATAAGTGGTTTTTATGAATATGTTATCAACACAGTGGGCTGAAGAGCGGCTATATATAAAATATTAATTAGATTATTATTATTATTAATCATAAATAAATAAATAACTTGTTGACTTTCTGATATGACTTTTTAGTAAACGAGTTTCGATATTTATCTTTTATCAAATTAATAAAATTCAAAAGTTTTTTATTTCTAAATTTATTTTCTTTTTTTAATAAATTGTATAAAATTTTATTAAATTTTCCAATTCTTTATTTCAACTTGAACTTTTATGCCGTTTTGGAATTTATTTCGATAGCCGATCTTTTAGTTCGGTGAACAAATTTTATTTAGTACACTAGATTTACTTAGTTTTGTCCCGCTGTTGGTTGGACGTCGATTCGCGTAGAATTCGCTGTGCCAATAATTTTAAATTCGATTAAAAATCGCTTAATTAAAATCGTTAAAAATAACTAAATACAGTCGAAGACTTATCAAAGTGACAGAAATAGTAAATTACTAGAACGAAATGAAAGTACAAAATATACGGAGCAAAGAATTCTTAAATATCAACATAACTACAAATATGAAATGTAAAGAATAGCGCATCCAACGCAACAGTGCGACTTATCATTCCTTAGCGTTTAGTTTGATTGCGCGTGCGCGCCTTCGAAACGTGCAAAACTAATTGGCTAGAAATTAATACTTTGTAGTTGGAGGAATTCACTGTTATGAGTTAAAAAAGAAACTGTTTATATACATACATATGTACACTTCTAAGGGCCACAAACAAGGTAGCAATTTGTAGCGCTCACATACATATATATGTACATATGTATTTGCATTTAATTATAACTGTAGCGATCATTCAGTCGCTGTGAAACATTGCTTTCCAGCGACAGTTCGAGACACGTCTACGAAAGACTTACTCGCAATTGCGGATGTGCGAACCTTTATGTGCTCGCCTTCGCTGGGCGCAGCAAGCACGTTCTGACACTTTCAACTGTTTATGCAATAAATATTTTTTGTCATTTGCAAATGGAAAAGGGAAGCAAAAATTATTACAGTTGTAATAAAATGTACATCGACGCTTAAATATGTGAGTCTACATTAACCTACAAATAAGTTTTGTATTTCGAGCTTAACAATCAGGACAGAGCAATGAATATTTCAAATTAATAAAATTATATTTTTCGGAATGGCGCACACTTTGCATTTGTGGCCTGTCGTAGTGCCATCTGCCACTGACACCAACATATTGTGCATTTTTTGAGTATATGCTTACTTAATATATTTTTTTTTTGCATATCTATTTTTCAGCTTGTAATTAAAAAGACTTGCGAGTGGTGGTTTTACAAAAATAAATGCCGCAATATGTCCACACATTGGAAGCAGAATGCATTTCTCATATGCTGCGTAATACTTTTCGGCCTTTTGCTAGGCTTAATCATTTGGTGCCAGCCGGGCAGCAGTGGCAGCAGTAGTCGGAAAGGTGCTCACATAACCGCAGGTGTTTCAAACAAATCAAATACGTGGACGAGTAGTAGAGGATATCCACCCGTTGTGGACTCGCCAGACATCCAAACGATATTTATAAATCATTCATTTATTGGCGACGAGCAGTGGACAGAAGATGGTGAGTTCAACTTAAAAATCCATAAATGAACTAAAACAAATATATAAGACAAATGGGACATACAAAAGAGTGCCAAAAAAATAAAAATTATGTTAATAAACACAAGTGGCATGCCATTTAGTGTTTGAAATGATTTTAGAATTTTGCTTTGAAGTTAAAGAAAGTTGAAGAATGAAATCATTTTCGCAAATAATTTGAAATGTAAACACGTTATTATCATTTCATCGCTGTCGTTTTCTTGCAGAGGATATTAAAGACGACATTGGCGATATAAACAACAGCATTCCGGACGATTTCACCAGTGACTTTGTGACGCTAAGAAAGGTGTACAATTCCAAACTAAGCGAAGATGATATGCTCTACGAGTCAAATCGTAATAAAAGCAGTGTAACGAATGGTAAGCAAATATTTCACTAATCGCATAAACCAAAAAGAAAAACAATTATTGACAACGCATTGACAAACCAATAGAATGTAGGTTAGGTTCTATGTGGAATATAGTACAAGAATATATTTTCTTAACCATCCAAATCTGGAACTAGAAAATATATAATTAATTTTTCTTTTTTCAATATGCATGTTTTCAAAGCATTTTTTAATGTTTGTTTTCGTATTAAACAATTTTATGTTTCATTTTTTAATAATTGAACATTGTTTTAAAAAGTATTTTAGATTTTAATATTAAATAATATAATATATACATTTTTTGTTGTATACTAAGTAGCTGTTTTTTAATTCAATTAATTTTATTGTTTTGATTTAAGTATTTCATTTCGTTAATGTTTTATTGTTTTATTTTATTTTCTATTTAATTATGTTTCAGGTTATTATTCAGCATTCGATGAAACGGGTACATTTCGTAGTAAATCTAGTCAAATTTGGGATCCACATCCCGAATACATAATAAATGCTTTCGGGCATGAATTGCATTTGGTTTTATATCAGGACACATCATTCATACCACCGCAAACATTTAGTGTAAGAAAACATAAAATAAAAACGAAAACTAACTTAAACCAGCAACACAAATATTCTATTGTAGAAACCTAAAAAATAGGTGTTGTTAAGTGCTGAATTCTAGACTTTTATTATGAATATCACAGGATCTAAATTCTCAGCTAATTTAATATACTATATTTGCACTTTAACTTTGTTTATACAATAGGTAATTCGTATACTTAACAATAGAACCGAGGAAGAAGAAGAGGAAGATGAAACAAATGGCCATTACTTGGGTTGCTACTACAAGGGCGTAGTCCAAGGTGATGACCAATCAACGGTGTCCGTATCGCTCTGCAATGGCATGGTGAGTTACCTCTTTCAAAAATAGTTAACTGGAAATCACGCTTTCCCTTAACAAATTGAACGGCGAAGAGGTTCATACGGCCCCTGTACAACAAGCAAGAATTCACATTCCTAGCATAATATTGCCACACGGCAGTCAGCAATTACAAGCAATTATTCTTTTTTATTGTGTGTATGTGTAAACGCGCCTGTGGCGACAGTCACCGCGGTCTGTACGGTAGCATCCGATAGCCATAAATTCATTCATTAGACGTATTTGCAATTTGCAATAAATCAGCTTTATGTATTGTATTTGCATTCAACCGTGCTGGCGTATAAGAATTGATTGTTTGTATGTTTGTATGGCTAAATGTGTTTGCATATACATATGTACATACATATTTATGTATATATGTGTGGGCCACACCTCTGCTCATGCCAACTGAGCCTTAAAGGCACGAATACAGTCATACTTATCATAATACATACATACATAACTATTTACAATAAAGTATTTAGAATATTTCCTTGCCCCTCCTTAATGAGCGCCATTATTTCCTCCACATCATCGCTGTTATTATCATTAGTAAACCCATTTATTTGCCAAAGTTTATTTCGCATTTTATCTTATTTGTTTATTTGCGTATTCTTTTTAATTTTTTTTTTGTTGCTTCTCTGCGCCCAGACTGGTTACATTAAAACAAGTTTCGGCTCGCTGCTCATACAACCGGTCAATCAGACTGGTGATGGTGATTCGGAGGTGTTGCACAAAGTGTGGCGTCATTCGCGTCGTAATGCCAGACACGCTGTCGCCGATTCATTCGACATGGATTTGAAAGAACTCGAAGAGCGTCTATTCACGAGGTTGCATCGTAAGAAGCGCAACTATGTTGATCGTCATGTCTTCACGATGGAAGTGTTGGTGGCGGTTGATAAGACGATGAGTGAGTTTCATGGCAGCGATCTCAAGTCATATATATTGACATTGATATCGATTGTTTCGAACATATACGCGGATGCTAGCATTGGCAACTCCATTTATATAACCGTGGCGAATATATTGATTTTACGCGACGATCGCCGGAAAGGTGAGTGTTCGTATGAGTTTTTGTGTGAGTGTGTGTGTGTATGTATGGCAGAAAAAGGATGAATATATGGTGGAGTTTGAATCTACTCTTTTCTCTTCTTAGCCACGTCGGCATCTGCTATGCTAAAGGACTTTTGTGGCGTCGTTTCAAAGCAAGGATACCATTACGACACAGCAATGCTCATAACACGGTGAGATTGAGATAATGAAATATTTACTAGCACATATGATAAATTAACTGCACATATCTTAACATCTGATCAAATTTTACTAGGACTGATTCAGTGAATTTCGCGCTCAAACATGTACTTTCTGATTTGTGGTTCTGTGATTTTACTGATTTCCTTTTGATTTTGTTTCAAAATGTTTTTAGGAGTATTCTCTATTGAAACTGCCAAAAAAGATTCATGTAACCACCTTTGTAAATGACGATATCAAAATAATAACTAGAGAATATTCAAGAAAATCCTGGGATATTTTGGTTAAATTTTTTGTGAAAAGCCGCCACATATTGTTCTTGACTAAGCCACCTTTCTGAATACATTTTACTCCCTCAGATCTTCTCCGGTTCCAGAAACTTAAATAATCCCTCCGATGAACACCCCATGAGCCCACAATAGGGGTATTTACTCAAAATATTTAATTTTACTGGGTCAAATTTGATAGGATAGCACTTATGTATATAAACTCAAAATAGTAAAATATTATAAATGGCTATAGTCTCAAAACGTATTTTTACATTTGTTTTCGAATATTTCTTTTATAGTGATCAAATTTGCCGCAACGAAGGGGAGCCTTGCGACACTTTGGGTTTGGCTGAACTGGGCACTGTCTGCAAGCGACGATCGTGTGCCATAGTACAAGATAATGGACTGCCAGCCGCATTCACAATTGCTCACGAATTAGGTCACGTGTAAGTCGAATCAAATTGTAGACATTTTTTAGACTTTCGGTCATTTAATTATTTCGAGTTAAATTTAGTTAAACATTTATTCCTTATCCGAATTTTTTTCTGAAAAAAATTCTCGATTGTAATGAAAATCTTTTTTAATTAAAACTCCCTTTGATGTAGCCTAAACATGCCACACGATGATGACGACCTCTGTAAACCATTCAACCGACCAGGTACGAAGAGTAAAATGCATATAATGTCGAGTATAATGGGCAGCGACATCCATCCGTGGTCGTGGTCGGACTGTTCGCGTAATTATGTCTCCGAATTTTTGGAGTAAGTTCTTGGGGAGTTTGTGCCCAATTTTTAATTACCTCATTTTATTCGTTGAACCTTGCTCTTTCTAACGATATTAAAGTCCTGCTACGATTTGCTCTCTCCCACGATTCACTATTATCAAGGACGAGCAGTTTTCTACATTAATTCTACATCATTTATATTTTGTTTCATTTCTTTTCTCCAACACAATACAGAAAAGAAGACAAATCGTGTCTCGAAGATACACCCACTTATTTCATAAAGAATTTCAATACCAAATTGCCCGGCGAGATTTACTCACTCAATCACCAATGCCAACTAATACACGGCAACCAGTCGCGCTACTGCCGCATCGACAGCGAATGTAAGCGACTATGGTGCAAGACGGACAGCAGCAGCAGTGACTGTCGCAGCAGCAATCTACCGTGGGCCGATGGCACACCATGCAACAACGAACGTCACTGGTGTCAGAAAGGTGAGTGCGTACCGCGTGAGGGCAAATCGTTGCAAGTGGTGCAAGGGGGTTGGGGTCCCTGGAGTGAATTTACACCCTGTAGTCTTACTTGTGGTGGCGGCGTGCAGGAATCACAGCGTGAATGCAATAATCCACTGCCGAAGAACGGTGGCAAGTACTGTGCAGGCAGCCGAAAGAAATATCGTTCTTGCAACACACACACATGTCCGCCCGGTACATTAGATTCACGTGAGCAGCAGTGCTACGAAATGAATGGGCGGAATTTCTCTAGCAAAGGCATTGCCCGCTCGGCGAAATGGATACCGAAGTATGGACGTAAGTATGCCGTTGGAAATGTAGTATTTTCTTTGTATATTAAGAATTTGTATAACGAATATATAATCAATAAATTAAAAAAGGCACCAAAAGAAAATTTCAGTAAATAAATCTGGCGACAATGGGTGATAATTTCTTTGCTTAAAAATCATTATTTTGATCTTGTAACGTGGTAATCGGAAAAATGCTTCATATTTGGGAATGATTTTCTTCGGAATTTCCGATAATATTTTTCTTAAAATACGCTTTCTTGTAAATATTGTACTTACTCCAAGGCTTTCAACTTTATGTGTCCAACTAATATATTATATAATATCATTTTCCCAAAGAACTGCTCTCTTTCTGCAAATTAATTTCCCAGTACTTTTTTTTTACTTTATATATATGTATATATTCAAAATATTTTAATTCACTCTACGAACAAAATTTGAAGTTTTGCTTTTTCGCCTTTTGTAGTGTCCTCGGCCGAGAAATGCAAACTGTTTTGCCGCCTGGAAGATAACAGCGCGTACTTTAAACTCGCGGACAAGGTGAAAGACGGCACCACATGCTCGTTGGACAGCTTCGACAAGTGTGTCAATGGCATTTGCAGGCCGGCAGGTTGTGACAATGAATTGAATTCGCTGGCGAAAATAGGTAATTTGCAAAAATAAACAAAAACCTAAATAGAAACACAGCAACTGATTTGTACAAACTAAAAGCAGAAGAGTATTTGATGTGTTTATACAAAGAGCCTTGTGCCACGTCAAAACCTCCGTCTATCTACAAACACATCAGAACACATTTTACGCATAAATAAACTGAGAGTTGCGCGCGGAATCTCAACAGCTCGACCTTCACCGGCAAAGCATAACACTGATGGAGAGTCAAGCTGATGTGGCATGGATGACAGTTTCCTAAACGCAAAAATATCGCAAAATGAGTCAATAATTCTTTCGTTCGCTAACGTGCAGGGCCATAAAATTTCTTTTTATGAAACATCAAAACCAAACAGTCAGAGGCAATAATTTATTAAGAACATACGATGAGTGTTTTTACTCAAATAAATTCCTAAAACAAAAATAATATTCAAAGTATTTTTCATGCTTGTCTTCTTATTAAATCACAATATTTCTGATTTCTTTGCAGATAGATGTGGCGTTTGTGAGGGTCACAACGAAACCTGTCAGGAGTACACCGGCAACTTCTACGTCTCCGATTTGTTTAAGACCAAGTCTGAGTTATACTATTATTATGTGACAACCATACCAAAAGGTAATAAATTATGTCATATGATCTTTTATTTTTCCAAGGTCTAGAAAATGCAATCTACTGACTATCAACTTGTCATAAAGTAATTTGGCATGTTCAGATTTCAAATAAATTTATTTCACCTGTGCCTTCCTCACATGAGTCATATCATAAAATAAAAATGCTTATGTTGTTGGAATGGTATTTAACAAACGATTTGAGGCACAGCTGGTCTAATCCTTTAATTAAAAAAAAAAACAAAAAAAAAAGGTTTTATCAAAATAATCCTTTGAAATTATTTTGAGAACATTTTTTTAAAATGATATTTAGCTAACGACTATAAGTGATTTTCTATAAGTTTAATTAATATAATAATTGCCCAAATTTCCTCGTACCTAAATGCGTCCATATTATAAGTAACCAAACTCATTACGAAAGTGGACGCAAGTGGCTGCAATGACCACCACAATTTCAAATGCACTACTTTTTCAAGATTTCAATAAGCCCTGCGAACAGCGTATTTGTAACACTCGGGAGAAACGTCACGAGACTCTATAAAATGTGTATATCATTTATGATCAGCATGACGAACTGAGTCGATTTAGTCATGTCCATCTGTCTGTCTGTACATTCGCGCACAAGTCCCTCAGGCTTTGAGATACCGATCTGAATTTTTCCACACGTCTTTCTTCTCCTAACAAGATGCTCATTTGTCGGAACCGCCGATATCGGACTACTATTGCATATAGCTGTTATATAAACTGAACGATCAGAATCAAGTGCTTGTATGGAAAACTTTTTCATTTGACGAGATATCTTCACAAAATTTGGCATGGGGAATTTTGTAAGGCAATGGTGCACTCTTCGAAAACGGATTGGATCACTACAGCACATAGCTGCCATACAAACTGAATAATCGGGATCAAGTTCTTGTAAGGAATACTTTGTTTTTGAGAAGGATATTTTAACTTCGGGGCAACGAACTATTTAAGTTTCCTTATTTTTGGAAACCTAATTATTTCTCAGAACTCAAAATTAATAACTTTATTCGTATGGAAGGTTGTACGAGTTCAGTAAATGGGAACCAACTTTGATAATTCCAACGATGATAGCAATTCCTTTTGAATAAATATTGTCTCACTGATAAGTTTGACACCCCTAAAAATCATCATATCAATCAATTCCAAGTATTTCTTTAGAAGCTTTATTACATGCAAACGCATAACAGCTTGTGTGTTATACAAAAATGGGCCATCGGAAAGTTCAAGTTCAGGGTTATAGTGTTATCATACAGTCACATATGGCGCCAACTGTCTGTCTGCCCAGCGCGCCGCAGTATGGGGCGATTAAACGAGCAATACACATGTATGTTGATATACATATGTATGTATGTATATATTCCTATATCTGTATGATTTATTCGTACATTCACCTTAATATGTGTAGATATGTGTGTACGCATGTATGTATAAGTGCATTATGCATCCACTTGATTATTCAATGGCAATTAGAAAACTGATAAAGCTAAAAGCACTTACACATACGTCGCGCCGACAGCAGCAATTAATGCGATGCATACTAATTGCTTATCATCACATTTAATACTTAATACACACATATGAGCCATACAAACGCACATAGGTACAAGTGTGCATGCTCGTACAATAATAAATGTGACATTAAGATCTACGTGCTTGGTAAGTAATAAACAATAATTTCATGCGCGGGAAATCAGACAACTCTTAGCGCCGGTTTTAAAAATAGCAGCTGAATAACAGAACTATTGATGAATTATGTATTATCAGTACACAATAGTGCGAAAAAGGAAAAAAATAGTAGTACAAGTAGTTTTATTTTTAAATCATTTTGACGAGCTGATAATTGAATAGATGGGAGTGAAATGTCAATCAAACTGCCTATTTCGATCGACAGTTGAAAAAAATCGTATCGCGCGCACGCGTTGGGCGAAATATTAATGAACACTAAGTGTGAAGTGGTTAAAATTTTACTTTACTGGAATTTGCGGTTGCACCGCGCGTGTTAATAATTCACAATTCCTTTGAAATTCTACTTATATTTATCACCAAATTAAGGTAGCGCTATGTTATCGTTGAGTTACTTTACAAAGAAATTATTTGGGGTATCGGTAATAACATTTCTTATTCTCATTACTTTTATTTTCCATTATTTAGTAATTCTTAATTAAATTCTAAAATTAAAAATACATATACAGATTAAATCCGACGCTATATGACAATTGTAAGTATCAATCGCTTTGACGCTACATTTTTGGCTTATTCTATCAATGTTTTTGAATGTCAGTCATGAATTTGAAAGATAACAATACAAGCAGTAATTAGTGAAAATCCATAATTTATCTTCCAAGAACACGGTGAAACAATAGTTCACGACCATTTTCATCACCTCTCACGGCGAGATCGCCGAGCTGAACCATTTGAATTCACTTTTTCACTCTTACTAACTTAACCAAGGTAAGCCAGCTCAGAGTATCTATGTCAAACGGATTCTGAACTATTTCATCGTGAGATGATAAATAGGTTAGGCACAGATTATGCTTTGCTGTCCTTTCACATACAGAATTTTCGCTTCGGTCTATTAAACTAAATTTCAAATTTAGCAGCCTTGAGACCCCTACAATTTTCAGTTTCCCATAACAAAATTCAGTAATTGTGATTAGAATTTACCTTTTATTATTTTTGAAATACAACACAAAATCAAATAATTTCATTACACCAAACTAGTGTTGTTGCATATTTTGAACTCACTCTTATATGTGTTTTCTACCTTAATAGGCGCCTCTAACATTGTCATTACTCAACCCGGCTATCACGCTGAGAATTACATTGCACTGCGCGACGATGAGGGCAATTACATACTCAATGGCAAGAATGTCATCACCAGCTTTCGTAATATAAAATTCTATGCAGGCGTAACCTTTGAATACAATGGCGCCGAAAATATAGTCGAGCGTGTAAACACTACCGTGGCACGTAAAATGAAACGTGATTTGGTTGTAGAGGTGAGCTTTTAAAGGAGTGGCTTGCGAGTACGAGTGCAATAATGAAATCGCTTTCTTGTCTTTCAGATAATTTCCTTAAGCAAAAGTGCACCGAAGGACAACGACTCATTGTTACTCAGCTACACGTATACTATGGATAAGCCGCTCTATCAATTGCCCGAGGTAGAAGTTGAGATCTATAATTGGGAAATGCAACCCTGGAGTAATTGTGATGCACTATGTCATGGCAGCTCACACCGTTTGCCAGTTTGTGTGAGTACCACGAAAGCATTAAAAGTGGCGCCACAATTATGCGATGAGACGGCTAAGCCGCCAACTGACTATCGCGAATGCAACACGGATTGTGTGCTCTCGCTGAATGTAGCAAACATTTCGGAATGCTCAGCTTCGTGTGGCATGTTGGGCACGCGTGAGAAAACTTACTACTGCATACAAACATTCCCACATATCAGCCGCTCCAATATCGTGGACTTATCCTATTGTCTGTCGAAGTTCGAGTTTAGTCCACACGAGTCGTGTCGTGAAGGCTGTTGGGACTATACCGAGTGGACGCCGGTAAGTTAATTAATAAGTAACCAAATGAAGCTAGTAAACATCATTTATATGATTTCGTAGTGCTCCAAATCTTGCGGTACTGGCACGCAGACGCGTGGTGTGAGTTGCATGCTAAATGGCACGCGCGTGAGTGATACTTTCTGTAATCAGCGTAAGCGAGACTCTTTCCGCGATACAATAAGAGCTTGTAAAACGGAGCCGTGTTATTCATATGAAGACAATTTGGTAAGTTAACGTCACTATTGCCAAAAAAGGATGTCACGCGTTTACTATATAACTTGTTTACTACTATATATAGGTTACTCAACGTTCATATGCTAGTTATTGGTTCGCCGATGAGTGGGGTGCATGTGATGATAATTGTGAAAAGAATCGTACAGTTACATGTCGAAATCCGATGGGTTATGGCTGTCCGAAAGATCGTCGCCCCTTATCGAAGCGTAAATGTTGCAACATCAAATATGTGTCCAATTGGTCGAATGTAAGTTATGCCCAGTACAATTCAGCTACAAAATCTATTTACTTGTTCTTACTCATACAGTGCTCCGTTGAATGTGGTAATGGCGTGCGCCAGAAAGAGATTCATTGCGCACGTGTATATAAACCAGAGATTAAGGGAACGCCCCGACGACGTGTCATTATTGATCCATACCACTGTCGTCATTTGCGCAAACCAACGCCGAAGCGTATGCACAAGCCCTGTAAGATCAGCTGCAAATGGAACACTTCCGACTGGACACAGTGTCCCGCCGACTGTCATGAAGAATATCAATCACGTTCAGTTTATTGTGAGTCAGTTTTGGGCAATCCGATTGCCTATCGCTACTGTGATGCGATGAAGAAGCCACCATCGAAGAAGATCTGCAACAATTGTGTGCGAAAGGAATCGAAAATTATAACTCCTGTAAGTATCCATTGATGTAACTTTGGGAATCTAATTACACCTATATCTAACTCCCTTCTTTCATTACCCCCAGTGCAATTGCGATGGCTTCCGACGTCGTCGGATCATTTGCTACGATTCGACGGGCCGACGCATTGTCTGTCCCACAAAAGAGAGATTGATTAAGGAAAAATGCCCCCCTCCACGTGAATGTATGCCACAATCTTGTGAGGACGTGCGTCGCCTACTTCGCAACTATCAGGACGATGAATATACCATATATGTGCGTTCACGCGCACGCAGAGTCTACTGCCATAACATGAGTAGCTCACCGAAAGAATATATAACTGTTAATCATCTTGAAAACTATTCCATTTACTATGATTATAAAACGTCCGATCCGGACAGATGTCCGCCCGAGTCGAGAAATCGAGAGTTCCGTGATAACAGCACCAGTTCGGGACGTACGCATTTCCGTAAGATACGTATAAATCTGCCAGACTTACGTATAATCGAAAATGATTTTACGTTTGCGGAAACAGTTGGCACTCCCCAATTGTTTGGTTCCGCGGGCGATTGTTACAATCGTAACAAGGAATGTCCACAAGGCGATTTTTCGATAAACTTGGAAAAAACCGGTTTCCACATTCGAGCTGGCGCGCGTTGGGACACTTTCGGTCACAGTGTAATTATGAAGGTATCTAAACCGGTAAGTGAAAGATCTACATTCCTCTAAGTGTTGACAAAATTATTCTAAACCTAATTTTACACATGCACACAAAAAACCTTCAACAAATCTTTAAATTTGCATAAAAATTCCAGTTCGACACCGCTACCGTTTCACGTCGCGCTTTCTGTGGTGGCTATTGTGGACGTTGTCAACTTTCGCATGCGGGGCTGTACCTAGATGTATGATCACACATCGGTTGAAACAACCTTAGTGTGGATATAACTTTTTGTTGGGTAAAATGTTAGTATAATTTATATAACCTTTATGCAAACTATTTTCTTTTTCCTTCTACCAAAAAACTCAACCTCCAAATAGGCTCACAAAACCTAGTTAGTGGTCTTGACACCACCAATTTTGTGGGCGTGGCATCGGTAGATATGGTCGCTGGCGTGACGTGAGCATGCAGACTGACAATGGATAAGCAAAATTTTATGTGCCATACAATGACTCGACGATGTCATTGCCCACCCATAAGCCAACACAAACCAAGCAGCGACTACTACGGCGAAGGCAATAGACCAAAATTATATAGAAACACAGAAGAAATAAACACTAAGTACTTTTAATATTGTTGAAGTGAACGAACACCAAGTCGACAGAGAAACAACGAAATCAACTACTGCTAGCGAATTGTTAGACGTTTAAGGACAAGAGCATAACACAAAGCGCTCAAAATGGCTGGTATCAGCCGATATTGTAAACTGCCAGCAACAAATACACACAAAAACTAACAATACAAACGATCACTGAAAAATTTATTCTAAAAAGAACCAAAAACTCGTTGCAATTCGCAAATCAAAATATTCAACAAAAAAAATTAAAAATAACACACAAAATATTGAGCTTAAGTTAAGTGCAAAGTTGAATTTGCTCAGCTTTTACCAAGTGTGGTATACAAGTATACCAATACGAGCATAAAATATGTGTATGCAGTATTGTTCATTCGCACAAAAACTTATTGGAAAAAATGTTATCCGTATGGAAAAAGTATTAATTAACAAAATGAAATATAGCAACAAATTTTAAAATAAAATATTTTACTGTATTCGTAGATATGTATGTAGTATATTGTGTCGAAAATTCGAAAATATTAAGAATTTACTATTTCCATTAATTGTATCCCTATGTTGAAAATTGAAACGAATGTATGTTTAAATGTTAGGCAAATATCTATGTATGTAAATACCATACATTAATATAACATACAATAGCTTTATAACGGTGAGTGAACCCAAAAGAAAAAGTATTTATTTTGAAAAGAAAAAAGTTGTGTTAAGTAAAGGGCGTCGCTGACTTTTACAAGTTTCAAAGACGCAATGTGTGAGTCGTTTTCAGAATGCTTTACAAAAGCCGATTTACTTTTATAAAAACATTGAACTCACACATTGAAGCAAAAAAGCAAAAATGCAATCAAATCATATAACGAATTGCACGGTATATTAATGAAATTAGTAAGAAGTGTTTTTTTTTTGCAAAATTACGTAAAAATTTATTTTTAAAACAACCTCCAAAGTAAAATTTTAACAAAACTTAAAGCAAACCTTAATGAAATCAAATTTGCATGAGCAAACCAAATCAAATAACTAAGAATTTGCAACCAAGTCACTCAAAAAAAAAATTTTTTTTTTTAAATTAGTTGTAATAATTATGTGTGTTTAGATATATGTTGATGAACATCAACACAATGAGCCATATATTTCAGAAATCATTTGCATTTAGTTGCTGCTTGCGTTAGAGGTGAGAAACGTCTAGTCTCATAAAAAACAACCACAAAAAAGTTTTTGATTATTACGCACATATTTTACGTTGTTATGATAATATAGTAATTTTTTAAATTAAAAAAAAATAAACACATGCATTTTTCACAGCCGCGACTATCTCTCTTTTCAAAAAATATTTGTATTTTTCTACTAGTTTTTTGTTTTATTAAAACCAAAATAGCATGCTCGATTTCCATTTAATTATGACTTTAGATTGGTTTGTTTCCTTTTTCAAACACCTCCCAAGCAGTTGCTTTAAAATTAAAACATTTGACTCGAATTTAAATGTAGTTTAGTACTAAGTCACAACTATGGCAATATAAGTTTTTACTGTAATTTAAAAATTTAATTAATTACGTAAAAATGGTGCTTATAATTATACAAATGTTTTACTTCCAAAAACACAAAAAAAAAACACATTAAATAGATCATAGAGTATATATACTTATGTACAAACGCTATTTTCTGTGAAAGTAGACGTGCGTACGAAATGATAAGGGCCAGTATATGCAAAGAGAGTATGTGCTACTTGCGCACATTAACTTATATACTATACTGCCATGCATTGTACACTTATGTATAAATATTTAGAAAAGCAAAAATACTATTTACACGCATACTTTTTGGCATTTCTAGAATTAAACTTTCTAAATATTCTCAACAAGTGCCCATTCATACCAAACTCTCATGAATTAATAAATAACTTTCGTAAATGTATTTTAGAAATAAACAAAAATACTCATAAATATTAAAAGTAATGCCAGCTATGTATGAGAAGAGAATACAATTTTAATGGGCCATACAAAAACAAAAAGAATCATATAAAAAATATTGACTGAAATTGTTTACATTGAACACATTTCACATTTGATTAATCATTTTTAAATTTGACTTTTTCTGTGTCGCCAAACCCATTGATCGCAGGTTCGATACAATGACTCTAGTTATTCAAAGGTCAGCAACAGCAAGTATGCTAATTAGAGATCGCGGAAGTAGTGTCTAGCGACGCCTGTGGCGTGCTAAGAAAGCAATTGCAAAAATGTGAAAATATTGAAAATAAGTCTAATTGTTACAATTAAGTATTTTTATGAAAATAAAATTTTGTTTTCAAATAAATACTAAAAATATTTAACAGCAATTGGAAGTAACTTAAATATATTTCTCTGAATCATAAATGCAATTATTAAGCGAATAAAACAAAATATTAATTTATAGTGCAACCTTCAGCCATATAACGGTGCGCTTTCATTTATTTGTTACACCTGCACTCACTGCCAGCTACACGCACGAACTCAACAAACATACATACAAATCGTCATTTCACTCTTTGTGCCAAGCAAGTCTTTACAACTTGCCAATTATCCTTAAAACCATAAAACATCCCTAAACAACTAGGCAGTGTTGCCAATAAATGAATGGCGCATCATATATATGATAAATATATATAATATATAAATATAAATATGGTATATACATTTGCTTTAATATTAATATTATGTGTGTATGTATTTGTGTAAATAATTGTACGTTTTATGTAAAACTTAAAGTTTAGAAATAAATAAATATACACTGAAATAACATTGAAAAGAAAATGAAAGCACTAAACTGTTGTTTTATTGCAAGACAATTAAGGTAACTGGCTCATCCTGGAAGATTTTTTTATTCCAAAAATCCCAGATCAATATTATATTATATATTCGGAACTTTAGAAAAAGTAGTTCTCGTTTTTTTTTTTTTTTTTAAAGAATGCATTCCATAGTTAATTCTCTAGTAAACTTTGCTATGCTTCATGGCATTAGCTGAATAAGGAGATTTCTGGACGTACTTCGTTATCATAAATTAAGTCGACTTGTATACTAACGACGACAGTATCGAGACAGTGTGTTTAGAGCACCCATCCCGTCACCATTAGAGAAGTGTAGACAGCTCTTAATATCGTTTATAACTCGCTATTACAGGTTTAAAGTGTATCGACTATGCTTGCATCAAAAGACCTGAACAAAACTTAACTCATAGCTCTGCTGTTTCGTACTGTTAACGCTCGCTGATATATTCCTGCTACCCTACCTGTTTCGGCAAACAAGTTTAGACCTGAGGGTCGATATGGAAGTGAAATGCTTTTGAAGAACTTTAGTGATAAAAAAAGTAGAGGTTCTTAATAAAGCATCTAAAACATCGAATCAAATTATCGGCAAGTAATAATATCTACCATTTGAAATAACATTTCTTTTGCACTGAAAACTGTCATTGGTGGCTTCTTATTTATTTCTAATAAATTTCAAATAATTTACTTAAAGATTTTGTTGTTCATTTAATTAAGTTTAATATAATTTTAAAAAGATGAAATAGAAAAGCACTTTGGTTTTTATAATAAAATATTTTTTTTTTTGGGTTTTTTTTCTTTTGTAGTTTTCTTCCATTTTGCGTATGCTCTACATTTAATATTTTATGCCTTGGTTAGTCAATGGAAAGGTGTTCGTTTTAATTAAGAAAATAATTGTTTACTTGTTGTTCATTTCTAAATTTTAGTAGTTTTAGTTTCACATTTTTTTAGTTTTACAATTAAGGACAATGGCATTTTTGTTGGCACATTTGAAGAAAAATTTTCAGCGTTGCACGAATTTTATTTTTTAAATCCGGAAATAAAAATTTATTTGAAATTTCACGTGCAATCACAATGTAATGCAAAGAAAATTCCTACAGATGTCGCATATGAGCAGTGGCATATAATTTCCGTTATGTGCTTTAGCTGTGTTGTTATTGATTTGCTTAAAATTACTGTTGCCTTCCCAATATAACTGTAGCGATCTTTTGATTCTTGTTGTTAATAATGCCTTTTGTGTTGTTGTAACCGAAGTTCTTGATTGCGCCATGAATTCGCTTTTGGTGGTTTCATTGGCTTTCAGCACGATATCTTGCTGACATTCGAGGTGTTTAAACGTAGATATGTTGTTTCTGTTATTGTTATTGCTAGTTTTGTGGGACTGTTCTTGCGCTAAAGCATTCATCAATCTTTCATGATTGAAAGACTTAGAAGCATTTGCGGTGCACAATGCCAGGTCCGGATTCATCATATTCCTGCTTGGAGATCCACATCTGCTGGAATGTGGACAAAGAAGCCAAGATAGAACCTCCAATCCAGACGGAGTATTTTCTCTCAGGTGGCGCAATGATCTTGATCTTGATGGTAGATGGCGCGAGGGCAGTGATTTCCTTTTGCATACGATCGGCAATACCTGTAAAGAGATCAAACAAAATTTGAGTGAATCAATCATCAACAGCGCAAACACCAAATTCTTCCTCTTTGGCTTTTTTGTAGAAACCATTAATTTACCTGGGTACATGGTGGTGCCGCCAGACAAGACCGAGTTGGCATACAGATCCTTACGGATGTCAACATCGCACTTCATGATCGAATTGTAGACAGTCTCGTGAATGCCACACGATTCCATGCCCAAGAATGAGGGCTGGAATAACGCCTCTGGACAACGGAAACGCTCATTACCAATGGTGATCACTTGACCATCAGGCAATTCATACGACTTCTCCAAAGAGGTGGATGCAGCGGCAGTGGCCATTTCCTGCTCAAAGTCCAAAGCAACATAGCACAATTTCTCCTTAATGTCCCTCACGATTTCACGCTCGGCTGTGGTGGTGAATGAATAACCGCGCTCGGTGAGGATCTTCATCAAATAGTCGGTCAAATCGCGACCGGCCAAGTCAAGACGCAGAATAGCATGTGGCAAGGCGAAACCTTCATAGATGGGTACAGTGTGCGAAACGCCATCACCAGAATCCAATACAATACCGGTGGTACGACCGGAAGCGTACAAGGAGAGCACAGCCTGAATGGCCACATACATGGCGGGCGAGTTAAATGTCTCGAACATGATTTGGGTCATCTTTTCACGATTGGCTTTGGGATTAAGTGGCGCTTCGGTCAATAATACTGGATGCTCTTCAGGTGCGACACGCAATTCATTGTAAAAGGTATGATGCCAGATTTTCTCCATATCATCCCAATTTGTGATGATGCCATGCTCAATGGGATATTTCAATGTGAGTATACCTCTTTTGCTCTGCGCCTCATCACCTACATAGGAATCTTTCTGACCCATACCCACCATCACACCCTGGTGGCGTGGCCGGCCAACAATCGAGGGGAATACGGCACGGGGCGCATCATCGCCGGCGAAGCCAGCCTTGCACATACCAGACCCGTTGTCAATAACCAGGGCACCCGCATCATCGTCACACATTTTGGCAGTTAGTTAAGTGGGTTCTGCAAATAAATTTTGCAAATAATTAAAACTTATCTCGCTAAAAGTTTTACATATTCATTATTTGTGATATTAAGAGAAATCAAAAATTTGCTTTACTTACAAAATACATAAAACTTAATTAATTTTGCACAGGCTTATTTGAAGGGAAATATTTACATATATATGTAGATATATATGTATATAACTATATAAATATAATTTAGTAAAACATTTCAGTAGAAAACTTCACAGGCTATCGAATTTTGAATATATGAAATAACTTTCTTTTTTGTTTTCGTTAAAAAAGTATGAGTTGGCGAAAAAGTTGCCAGTTGTGATATTTTTCTTAAAATGAAAAATATTATTCAAAAGTTTATTTTGATTTTTAATTAAAATTCTTTTGCGCAAATAAGTTTAGAATTTTAAAATTTTGAGGAAGGCAAAGTTGAGTTAAATGTGTTTTCGCTTCATTTTCTATGCTATACAAAACGTCTTACAAATTGCTGTGAATTCTAAATATATTTTTAAAAATATATAAAAAATGTATAATAGTATTAGATATAACTGCTTTTGTATTCTTTTAACGTATAATGGTAATAACGTCTTCCATAATTGGCAAGGTCTTTTTATAAGTCGCCTTCACTTTCCATTCAGTCTTGATTTCATTGATCCTTAATTCTCGGGCACAAAAATACACTCGTGAAAGTACTTCGGTCGGTTGCTATTTTTACAGTCCGATTGTGTAAGAATGCATTGCGTATTGCAACAAGAATTTAGCCACACCCTTGTTCATTGCATAATCACTAATAAACGGTAAGAGGGAATACTTCATACAAGACCTATTTGAATAGACATTGCAGATATTGAATATTCCGAGTTTTTTTCCGAAATCATCAACGGTACAAAAGAGTTTTGTAAACGAAAGTAAAAAGCGAAGTGTTAATTAAGAACGTATTTCTGCGAGAGACGTAGCAAACTTACGAGTGATATTCTACTACGAAAATGTATTCAGAAATCCTTTTAGTATTGGTCTACAAAACCAACTAGATTTGCCGTAGGGAACCAAAGCTGAGATTCTTCCCACTTCTGAATAACTTTAAGATTTATTTTAATGAAACCTCAATGCTCTGGTATCACACTGGATTCACAATTTTGCTTTTTAAACAAAAATTCCGTTCTCAAATATTCCATTTACTATATGTCTGTAATATGATACCTCCAGGGTGTAAATTCTGTATTGATAGTTTTTTCAAAAACTTCACTTTTGACAAGTTTGGTTACACTTAGTCATTCTAAGGATTTAATTTCTGCCTTTAAACTTAATCACTTGATCTGAGTTTTCTATATATGTATGCCAAAAAACTATACTTTAGTTCCCAAATGTTTCATCAGTCACTTCCTTCCCTCTTCCTTTTTCTCAAAAACAAGTTATTTTGCTTAAACACACTTCTTCGAAGACTCTTTCATAATTTTTTTTTTCCATTTGCGTGGAAATTATAAACCTTTTGAACTCCGGAACCACCGTATTACCTTGCGGCCAACAAACGAATGGAAATCGAACTTTGTTTTATGTGTGAACACGATTTTTTATAGAGTCTGCTAGTGTGGGTCCTCGTTGGCGCCCTAACTCAACAACAAATGGAATGACGATCCCGGCGCAACGCCTTTATATCACCAATGCTGCTGTTGATTGCGAAAAAAATTGCATGGCAATTTAAGGCAAAAATTCTTGCATTCTTCTCGGCAACGGAACGGCTGGTAACGAAACGCAGCCACCATGACAAAAATTCTAAAATAATCAAAATGAATTAACCAACACACAGCACACATTCGCACAAAGGGTATACTACCACAGCGCCCTGTTGATTTATTACGCCACAAACAACCAAACAAACAGCAAACTTTTCGGTCAAATGCAATTGTAATTAAATCAACGAAGGTCCATGCTTGTGTTGGTGAGCTGATCGCAATGGTTAGAGATGCTAAGAATCTTTCTACCAAATGTGTGGTAGTGTTGGTGTTCGAAATACTGTAGTGCTTTATAATGGTTCACCGCTCATTCCATATAAGCCGTGTGAGTTTTTTAGGTGGCGACAATTTCTTATTTTTGTGTAATGAATTATTTAAGTGTCCTGAATTAGTTTTCACCATTAGATTGCTTCTGCGCTCGTGAAATCTCTATAAACTGTTGCTAAAGGAGGGGTAAGGCCAAAAAACACACCCACATCATATTATTGCCAGACAGAGAGCATGTGAGACTTTTGTTATTTAGCAGAGCCTCACATAATCTCAGCCTGGAAGGACCTTTTGGCCACGAGTGAATAGCTTCTGACTAGTTATTTTTCGCCTATTATTTCTTAAAAATATCAAAAGATTTTAGTAACCCTGACTTGGAAAAGTTTGATTCCATAAACGAATGGTTCATATCAAAGTCATACCATTCATTTGGGAAAAGTAATATGAGGATAGCGTACACATACATATATAAATTTTTCAAGGGGTTAAATAAATCTCCCGCTACGTGATTAGAAGCCTATGTAAAGCCAACTTAAAAATGTAGATTCTATAATTAAGTATTCAATAAGCCTTGCTTCGTAAAAAAAATTATTAAGCCAGTGAAGTCTGCTTTTTGTAAAGGTCAAGAAAAAAAAGAATATGAAGAAAAATCGATGTGTCAATGACCATCAGAAATTAAAAGTAGCGAGTATAAAAGAGTCAACCCTCCTTTGTATGTGTTCGAAGTGCGTGAGTATGCATTACCACAACAAAAATGCACGAATATTGAGAACGTTTTGCCTATGACTCGATAGGCAATCAACGGCAGATATATCAGCTGAGTAAGTGTAAACACGCAAATGGATATGAAAATGCTTGCTGTCGCTCACGCATTCTTACTTGCTTACATGCAGACAAAATCAAAATACTTGGCGATTTTTCACCGAACCCCAAACACTTCCGACAGCATTCGTCTAATCGATAAGATCACCGGGCTATTAAAAAGCCGAAGAACCATGTGGATAGCAACAACAATAAGAATTCAGCGCAAGCAATGAAGATATGGCTAATTAACGCAAGTAACAGTGCAGCATCAACAACAATCCTCACAGAGGAAGAGAGAGTGTACTCGGGGAAACTGCGATCAATGCAAAATCTAAACACTGGCAGCGATTGCCTGCACATACTTGCAATTGTCGCTTGTCGACCAGCGAGCGGCACTGTATGGCTTTTTAAATAGAAACGAACCGTAGAAGGACTGATGCCGCTGATGGGAACTCTCTTGCTCACTCGAAATGAAGCATTTCGCCCATTTGCTGACACTGCCCTTATTGTTGTTATAGTTTTTGCTTGGCGTTTTATACAAGCGTACAATAAGCACTTGTAGTTGGTGACAGCAATTAAGCGATCAGCCATCGTCGGCACAGCAACAACGCCAATAAATCAACATCAAGGTTGGCGGCCTCAACCACGCAGTCCGCGTGCTACAGGCAACCAAATTACGTTTGCTTGCAACATTGGCTAAATAAGAAGCGGCATGTTTCCACACACACACATATATATGTATATAGATGATTGCTAGATATGGTTGTTGAAATTTGTATAAATTTGGGCCATTGAAGTGGCGCGTCCATTTGTCTTCGACTACCTGCTGCTGCGATGAGTAGCAAGGAAGAACTTTTCTATTGTTTCACTTGTTATTAAAACAATATGTGCGTGTAAGTGTTTGCCGCTTTACACCGACAACCAAACTGGTATTTGAGTCATTACATGGCAAATACTAGCCGGGGGAATGCTCTAGTAGCTGCCTCACTTCTCTTCGTGTCATTTGTGTTGTAGAGCTTTTAAATAGCAATTGATTGGTTAATGCGTCGCGTATATTTTTCAGATTTTACAATGCCGTAATTCTATGATGTTTTTGTTTTCGCTTGTTGTTTTGTTTATTTATATTTTTGATTATTCATTCTGCTACTTTGTTGGCTCATTTGAGGTTATTGCCATTTTAAGCAAAAGGTACTATCAGTGAATTATTTGCCATATGTACATACATATAGATCAATTAAATTTAGAAATTTTACGCTCAGAGCTTTTATCATTCCCACTGCTTCCTCAGTTTTTTTCAAGTATACAAAAGTCATTCAGACACTTTTAGCTGCCATTAGTTTATTTTTTGCTCGATCAATTTAAAAATACTCAGCCACTAACTTATGATAACACCTTACAACTATGAGTTGATATATCCTTTTTGTCAGTAGGCTGAGAGAAAGAATTTAAATTTAAATAAATTATTAAAAATTCGTTAAATCGCGAGCCAGAAAATAGATGCATTAGATTTTTTGTATTAAAAAGTAAATTAAGGAAAAAACCATCGATTCCAACTGATAAAAGATGATATTTTGGACAATGAAAAGCTCTCAGTTTGTTTGCAAGGCAAATAATGGATTTTATCTGGTCTGAAATTACCAAAGTAGCTGGTTGTGAAGAGTTGTTAGCATTTTAGCAACATGTGGCCATGTAATGTGTACAGCCTAAAAGTATGCAATATGAAATTACAGTATGGTGAATATCGACATCTATTCAAACAAACATTTATTGAAAGAATTAATTACCAATTGGTTCAGCTAAAGAATGTGAAATAATTTTAGTATATTATTTACTATTTATATAATATTTATTAAGATTGTTTGCCAATATTTGCACAGTAAAGATGACTAAACAGACATATGCATATTCTACATCTGTGCCTGTCCTTATATTGCGATTCAGAAGAGTTCTAAAAGCTTGCATGCAGCACCAAGTTTGCTAAACCAAGTTTCAATAGCAGTTTCTGAATTAATTAAATGCCTATAGTTTTATTATAGTGCTTCAAACCACATTAACAAATTGTTTGTGGTCATTTGTCTAAACCAAACTAAATCATACATTATTTTTCGCGTATTAATTTCATAATTTTGCCTCTTTCATTTTAATGCATTCGCAACAATTCTTCGTGGCCTCCTTCAGCACCTCTATATACCTACACACACTTATGCATGTGCATATATTTTATGTATATTCTTTCGGCAGTGAAAGTAATGCGAATCTGTAGCCGTCCTAAGTGGGTCAAAAGAGTAGTCAGATTTGCCAAAGCCTAACTCCAAGGAGCGCGCTAATTATATGCTATTTAATATATATGAATTTATTTTTTAAGTAATTAAAAGTTGTATTCACGTGACCTAGATGAAAAGTAACGTCAGCATCCAAACTTAAAAGCATTTTTAGTATTAATAACAATACCAACAACAAAGAAAGTACATGAAGAGCCGCTGCTAAGGTTAGGGAAATATGTTCTTGTATGTATGTACTACCTTTTATATGCACATACAAGTATATAAACTCAAAGCATAATCAAAATGATCCCTACACAGCGCGGGGGACTTTACACACCTATTACCTGTGCTAGATTGTCAAGATTTTGATGAGCAAAAAAAATTAAGGAAAATAAATTCTTTGGATGTTTGCGCTCACCGTTATTGTCTCCAGCGGCATTTTCAAAATAATATAGGCTAAATAATAATTCTATTCGAACTTCGACAGTTAGAATGCATCATAGCGTGAAAATTTTTATATTTCCAATACTGTTGAGGTGTTAAGCAAATATTTGATGCTGTCATTCTGTTAAGATTTCCAGCGGGAAAGATATCCAACAGTCGAGATAATGAAGTATATATTGTAAAATACCAAAAAAATACATATTCCACTTGGACAATTGAGATTGCTTCAGTGGCTTTATATTGGTCGATATTTGATAGTAATAAAATTATATATTGTATGTAAATATAACAATGCATGTGATGAAGAAATAACTGAGCATGTATCCCTACACGCACACACCCAAAAATAAAGAATAAAAACCAAAGAGAACCAAATAACTTTTGTATTATACGTATTTTCCATTTTCTCATTTTTCGTTGTGTTTTTCTTCATATATTTTATTTCGAGCGAAGAAAGTGGCGTTTTCTACGTGAAATACAGTAATAGCACCACCAACGCAGACTACAGAGCATACACAAAAGACGAGAGCAGCTTAGTCAAAAGCTAACAAAGAGGCAGTCAAGCCGAAAGTTTTAGCAGAACATCTTATAAATGAAGCTATACACGCATAATAGATATGTAATTGATTCGCATCTGTGTGTAACTGATTTTTTCTTATAATTTCCTTGTATACCTGCATAACACCACAATAGGCCCATGTCAGTTTTGGGTCTCATTGTAACACTATAAAAATCATAACAATGCCATGCTACTAAATTCAAGTGGTAAATAGCGGAGAATCTCAGCAACGAAAGCAAAAAAGCAAAGCAAACAGCCATCCACCAAGAAAGAAAGAAAGAGTGAATGAAGAACAACAACACAACACCGAGAATTTTTGTTGCTATCGACAACGATGACGATGACAACGACAACGGCGTGAGCAACTACGTCAACAAAGCAACAGCAATAACAAGTGTGTTCAACGAGTTGGCGTACGCATGCGCCAAAGCCAGTCACAAATCCACTGCGTCTCCGCATCAGTCTTTGTGTTCGTCATTGCGCTGACAACGCTTCATTCTCACACACACATACCGCTCCACTCCCCTGCCGCGTACACTTCTATGTCAGAAAAAGAAAGTGCAAGTGGACG